TCCTTGGCCACTTGAAGTTTGTATTGCATCTCAAATAATTACAGTCTTTTTTAGTCCAGGTTCGTGAGTGTATAGGGCAGTGGTAATTTCTCAACTTAGTAGACTTCTTACCTATTTGGTTCCAGAAAATTCCCTGTGCCAGGAACCATATCCATGGTCCATAAGACACATTTATTTGCTTACTTGCTTCCTTCCTCTCTGGATTTAAGAGAGCTTCTCCAGGAAAGTTATACCCTTGATCTGCATTTTTTTTCAAGTCAATATAACAGTTAAGAAGTTTCAACAGTGTGTTGCCTATAGTCAGTCTTAAGGCTGAGTGTTAATCTGCCTTTGTGTTCAGAGGCTTTCTAATTTTAGACCTTGCTGTTTGAGGCTTTATCTTAGTCTGTTCAGGCTGCTATATCAAAATACCTCAGACTGGTAGTTTATAAACAACAGAAACATATTGTCACAGTTCTGGAGTCTAGCAAGTCCAACATCAAGGTACTGGCAGATTCGGTATCTGGTGAGGACTCACTTCCTAGTTCATGGATGACCATCTTTTCACTGTAACCTCACATGATGGAAGCAATGAGGGGTTTCTCAGGTTTTTGTTTTTTTTTTTTTTTTTGGGAGGGAATTTCACTCTTGTTGCCCAGGCTGGATAGAGTACAATGGCCCAGTCTCGGCTCACTGCAACCTCCGCCTCCTGGGTTCAAGCAATTCTCCTGCCTCAGCCTCCCGAGTAACTGGGATTACAGGTACCCGCCACCACGCCCAGCTAATTTTTGTATTTTTAGGAGAGATGAAGTTTTACCATGTGTTGGTTAGGCTGATCCTGAACTCCTGCCTCCACCCACCTCAGCCTCCCAAAGTGCTGAGATTACAGGCATGAGCCGCTGTCCCTGGCCTCAGGCTTCTTTAATAAGGACACTAATCGCATTCCAAAGGCCCTGCCTTCTAATATCATCACACTGGGGGACTAGAATTTCAGCGTATGAATTTTGGGGGAACACATTCAGACCATAGTAGGTTTAAAAGTATTTCTAACTTTGCAAGGTTCTAAATTTCTGGAATCTCTCTATTATCTCCCATTTTTATTTGCAACCTGGCCAATTCTTTCCGGAGCTCATCTCTTCATAAAACAAAATGTAGTGTTCCAGACACAGGCAACAGCAGCCAACATAACACCACTGATGTTTGGTTTTCAGACCTCATCTTCTAGAGCTACAGATTTATTAATTTTATGATCTACCTCCCAAGTCATCTCAAGCAACAGTTTTACTGAATATCTTACCACTTCAAAATATATATGCCCATTTTTATAGCTTTCAATATCGATTTCTACTGTCTGACCATTAAGCCAGGGTCTCATATTGTAGGATTTTATTAGAACACTACTTCTATCACCAATATCTATATTAGTAATATAAGCTCAGTTATGCTGCCTATCATAAGCCTAGAACTTACTTCTTGTTCATGCTAAATGCCTAGTATGTGTCTTCAAGGGGTTTTGTTCTACATGGTCACTCAGGGACCCAGGTTGATGGAAAGTCCATCATCTCGTATTTACCCCCTTGTAACTAACCACCCCAAAACCTACTGGCTTAAAAGAAGAGTGATTAACAACTTCTTATGATTCTGAGGAAGTGGCCAAGTGACTTTTCTGCAGGATGAGCCTGGGATTAGTCATGCATTTGCATTCACCTGGAGAGTTGACTGAGGTATGGGTTCAGCTGGGAAGTCTGGGTGTTGCTCTCACCATGTTGTCTGTCCTCCTTACGGAGGCTAGCCCAGGGTGGCAAGTGGGAAAACCCCAATAAGCAAGCTGTATCAAGATTCTTACTTGCTGATGTCATGTTAGCTGAAGAAAGTCACATAGCCACGCCCAATGTCAGTATGGGAAGGTACTACACAAGGGCATGGATACTGGGATATACAAATTCATTGTGCAACAGTCTTCCACAGCTATCTAGAGCAGGAGTCAACAAATATTTTTTTAAGGTCTGGATTGTAAATATTTTAGGTTTTGCAGGCCTTATGTTTTCCCAGCTTCTCATTAGGATGGAGAGATATGTAAGTAAATGAGCATGTTCCAATAAAGCCTTATTCACAATAGCAGGCAGTGGACCAGATTTGGCCCACCACTGAGCTGTGAAACATAAAGCCTTTATTTATTCTCTAGAAGGAATACATGTCAATTCTGCCTTTAGCCCATTGGCCAAAACTAGTCACAAGACCATATCTAACTGCAGGGGTGATGGGGAGTATAATCCTGCTCTATTCCCAGAAGGAGAGAAGAGCTAGACATGGGTGGACATTGGAAGTCAATACAGCAGAAGCCACATTGAGAAGATGTATGTTCAGATCATCAGCCTTATCTTTATTGAGTACCCGGCACTGCTTGTAAGAAATGAAGAAAACAGACACAAAACCAGTGCCCTCATGGAGCTTACACAGAGTCCCTGATGGTGAATACACTGAGAGGGAGAAGCATTTTATACACCTCTGCTCTGGAATTGTTAGTTGTCGTCTCATTGTTTGTGTACTTGGCTTTTTCACCAATTGGGCTGTGAGCAACGCACGGGTAGGACTGCATCTTCTCTGTGCCTGATGCAGTGACTAATTCTTTGTAGGCACTCTTTAAGTGCTTGTCAAGTAATTGATTGTTCAAACCATTAGACCAAGATAAGGATTTACTTTGGATTGTGGGGAACCTGGATATAGATGCCTAATTCCTGTATCACTCAGGTGCCTAACTCTCAAACCCCTAGAGCTGCCATTATACAAAAGGCTACAAGGTGTAAGTTGTTTCTCTAAATGTGAAAAGACAAGGATAGACTAAAGTCTGTGTCTCTTCCACTCATAGCAGTGAGTGAAAGGGACAACAAGCAAAAATTTCCCTCGAGAGTCTAGGTTTTTGGCCAGAAGTAACGTGAAAGTTCAGGTTAATTTGCTTGCCTTCAGAAGGCCCTTGGGGTGTTTAACAGAAACCATCACCTTACCTTAGGTTTATTATTCTAGAAAGTATAAGTATCCTCATTTCATAATACCTGAAGATCACTTTGAGACAGAGCAGAACAGTAAATATTTCTCTATTCGCATCCCCTCCCTCTCTCCTCTAAGGGGTCCTGAAGTTGTGTGCAGTGACTTAGGAAAAGGAATATGAGATGGGAGTATGGGACTTAAAAAGGTTTCTACTGAGTGGATAATTTCATATCATTCAACCTAGTAAAGAAAAGCAATTGATTTACCTTATGTATCATACCAAGGGATGGGGTTTATAAATAGGAATATTTCTTAAAGAATATCTCTTTTGTTTTAGATTCATGAGCCGAGCCATTTTTAAGCCATTAATTATGTTTTAGTCTCAAATTTTATTGTAAGTTTAATTTTTACCCTGGAACAAATAGGGCAAATTCAGAATACAAGTCTTTTGAAAAAGATATTTTTGCAAAACAGTCCATTTGGGAAATGTGTTCATAGAGAATACAGATAGAAAAAATGGACTCCATTTCTGCTGTCAAGAGGTTTACAATCTAATAATGGGGTCAGGCACATAAACAAGTAACTGTAGTACAATGATATTTTTGGTCAAATAGAAATATGGTTAGAATTGTTTTAGAATGTAGAAGTAGGTGTCAGTCCAGAAGGGAATCGAAAAATTAAAGATAGCTTTATGGAGTAAGCTATCCTTTAAGCTGTATGCACAAAGACATACAGGCTTTTGAAAGGTCTTGTATGGGGAAAAGTATATTCTAGGCATAGTGAGTAGTGAGTGGCAGATAAGGTGCTCAGCTGAAGCAGAGGCTGTAGAATGAAAAGGAAGACAGCAGTGGAAGAACCAGGCAGAGCTGGAGGGGCTGGGCTGCAGCAAGGAGCAGAGGCAGAAGGCAGAGATGACATCCAGGTAACCTACATGCTGAAGATGGTCAGAAATTCTGAATTTCTGAAGTCCAAGAGAAAGCCATTGCATGAGAAAGAAGGCCAGCGACCTTGAAGTTGCTTCCAAATGTGACTCTGTGGCTTTCTCCTGTGGTTCTTTGTACACTCTGGTGCTTCTTCATGTGATCAAAATTAGAATATATTCATTGTTGGTCAAGCAAGAGCCTACCTTTGTTCCGTCATCCAGGAATTTTCAGTCTGTCTGCTTTTATTTGCTGCCCTAATAATAACAAAGGGCCCAGACTTGGACTGAATTGATACTGCAAATCATCAGAACCAGCCTTCCCAAGCATAAGGAGGATTTTGCCCCTACCCTCAGGTAATCCTGGCTGTGAACATGATGTTCTTGGAGTTGTTTTTTAAATAGCCTTGTTCTGTTTTCAAATATTTACCCATTTAAGCAACTCGCTATTTAATACTGAAGGGGTATTTGTTCTGCTGTCTGGCACCTGGATCCTGAGGTAGAGCTTTTTTCTAGGTCTTAGTCCATCTTTTCATGTTAGAAAAATTAATCTTTTACTCTGAACAAATTCACTTATATCTACCATTCTTGTTACAAGTTATGCAAAAGACCCTGGAGGGATTGTGATATGTTTTTAGGTGAGTTTTGAGGTATGTTTTTGTGTCCCTAGTCCAGAAGGACATCCCCATAGTAGTAAGTTCACACCCAAGAGCCTGAAAGTTGTTTGCACATTGCACTTCAAGTCCCGAGTTTTAGGGTTTTTTTCTACAACGATTCATATGCACACATATAGCAGGCCCCATGTCTGGACTCCAGCCCACACAGAGTTATTTGCCAATTCCAAAGAAGCAGAGAATGAAGATACTCATGCCCCATCATCCATCATTTTTTTCTATGAACCTTACAGCTGAATATTGAAAAATCTGGTTTTGATCTTTTGGGTATTTTTTTTTTTCATTTCAAGTCAACTGAATAGCCCATACACATGGATATAAAGAAATATAACCAGGAGTTGTTTGTGGTATTGAATCAGAACTGGAGACATCTGAAGTCAAGCCACTTCAGTAGTGTTTCTTATTTCTTTTTAATCAGATTTTGAATATTCTTTCTGCAGGTTGTGTTCCTGACTGGCTTTGGCTATGTGTATGTGGACACTGTACATCAGTGTGGCACAGTCTTCATCACTGTGGCCCCAGAAGGAAAAGCAGGACCTATTTTAACCAACAGCAATAGGTAGGTTTAATTATTTTCCCTGTAACAACATAGTAAGTGTTCCTGTTATAAAGTTGTAAACTTACTATTTATCTTTGTCATCTCTACATATGTATTAAAGCTTTTTGTTAATTATCGCATAATCCATAAAAAATATGGTTATTAGCAATAAATCATACCTTCAATAGGTAGCAATAAACCATCTTTCCTAGATACCACTTCCACTCCTTCTGTGGTAGGTTTAACAAACTGATTTACAAACTATGCATCTTGGAATCATACCACTATTATTAGCATGAAATGCACATTAATACCTCTGTATCTGCATGACAGTGTAGTAATTAATAATAAAACTTAGCAATTAGAGCTACATCAAATATAAATACGCCTCTTAGAGTCATATTTTCCACCCCCACTTTGACCTGAATGTTGCCATCAGGTTTTAAAAACTTGAAATAGACAAAGAGTTAATATTCTTAATTTAAAAGAATTCACATAATTCAATAGGAATAAAGATAGCCTTACAGAAACAAAAATAGAGGCAATAGGCATAAACAGAAAATTCTAAGAAGAGGAAATATAAGTAATCAAAGAAATGCTAATTTATCAAATTAACAATGATGTCGTATCATATCCAGTCCTGGTGAAAGTGTAAATTGGTACTATTTCCTGGAAAGCACTTTAGTAATACATGTTAAGAGCTTTAAAATCCTTTTGGCTTAGAAATTCCACTTTTAAGTGTGTTAAGAGTTTAAGAGTTAAGGAAGTAGAGAAGTGGGCAAAGATATACACAGAGAGATGTACACAGTGAGAGATACCACACAATTACAATGGCAAAATATTCAAAGTAAAAATGCCCATCCATAGGGAAATAGATGTACTATAATTGTACTATAAATGTTACAACTGCAAAAAGTAGATCTCAAAGAATTTTAATGGAATAGAAAATGCATATTATATAATCTAAAAACAAGTAGAATATAATATTGAATATATATGATCCTAGTTATGTGTTATCTGTACATACATACACACATAAGTACATATGTATACATACTCACACAGAAAACATTCCTAGAAATAAGACTGAAAAGAAAACAATCAAAATTGGTAACAGATATGGGGGGGTTAATGAGTTATTTAATATTTAATTATTATTTGATTTCTGTATTTTGATTTCTTATAATAGCATTTATTTTATGATCAGAAAAAATAATTTAATATTAAAATATAAATACTACCAACTTCCATACATTTGTTTAAATCTTTCTTTTAAAAAGTTCATTGCAACCGGGTGTGGTGGCTCACACCTGTAATCCCAGCACTTTGGGAGGCCGAGGTGGGCAGATCACCTGAGGTCAGGAGTTTGAGATCAGCCTGGCCAACATGGTGAAACCCTGTCTCTACTAAAAGGACAAAAACTAGCCAGCCTTGGTGGTAGGTGCCTGTAATCCCAGCTATTCAAGAGGCTGAGGCAGGAGAATCACTTGAACCCAGGAGGCGGAGGTTGCAGTGAGCCAAGATCACGCCACTGCACTCCAGTCTGGGCAACAGAGCGAAACTCCATCTCGGTTTGGGCGGGGGGGAGGTTTATTGCTTCTCATATATGGTTAAGAAGTCATTAATTTGGATTCTGCTCATTTGAATTTATAATATTTCAAACAATGTTGGATAGGATGTTTTCTTTGCCCAAAAGTGTTCATAAAAAATTAATAGCATAACAAAATTGGAGATGAACTTTTAACTAGTATAGTATAAAATTTCAGGTTTATTCAACACTTTCAGAAACATTTTATCTAGGGCATAAATGTTAATGACAATAGAAGCAACCTTTCATGAGAAAAGTACAGGTATTTCTTGGAACTTCCTTAATTCATTCAACAAATGTTTTACAAGGGCTTACTGGATGCCTACCACAGGATGAGGATACATCCATAAATAAAAAGGCCCAATCCTTGCCCTGGAGAAGATCACTTTCTCCTCATAGGCATGGAATTGGGCAGGGTGATGGGGGGTGTAGAGAGTAAACATAAAAAGAAAGGAAATGTTATGGTGCAGTAGAAGGTCAGCATTCTACAGGGATGAAAACAGAGCTCAGTAAGAGGCGCTGGGAGTGCCAGGGCCAAGGGACTGGGAGAGTGTAGTTTTAAACTGGTGTTGGTAAGCTGCACTGAGAAGTTGATATTTGGGCGGAGACTGGAAAGCAGTAGGGGGTTAGTAATGTGACTGTCTGAAGGAAGAGCTTCCCAGACAAAGGGCACAGCCAGTTCAAAGGCCTGCAACAACGTGCCTGGCATCGAGGAGGAACAGGGAAGAGGCTGTTGTGGGCCCAGTGGAGGGGATGGAAGTGGAAGTAGCAGTGCATGAGGTCCAGGAGGTAAGAGCTAGAAGGAGGGAGACCTCATTGGGACATTGAAGGGCTTAGCTTTAATTATAAGCGAAATGAGGAACTCATTGGAGCATTTTGAACATAGAAGTGACACACTGTGACTTAAATTTCTAGAAGATCATTGGCCGCTTTGTTAAAGTAGACTGTAGACAAACAAGGGCACAAGCAAGCAGGGAGACTAGTTAGGAGATGATTACAGTTGCTCATATTAGAGACACTGATGGCTTAGACTACAGTGGTGTCAGTGGAAGTGTCAGTGGAAGTGTCAGAAACAGATTCTGGATCTACTTCTAAGGAAAAGTCAATGGGATTTTCCTAATACATTGAATGGCTAAAAATAGAGGCATCAAGGATGACATCCAAATTTTTGGTCTGAGCAACTGGTAGGATATGGTTGCCATTACCTAAGATGAGAGAGACTATCTGCAGGTTTAGGAGGAAAGATCAAGAGATTGGTTATAGACATGATAAGCTGAGATGTCATTTAGACATCTAAATGACCGTGTGAAAGGTAGATACACAAGATTGGAGTTCGGGGGGAGCTCCAGGCTAAGTGTATACTTTGGAAGTCATCAACATATAGATGGTATTTTAGGTCATGAGACTGGATGAGATCCCCAAGGAAGTCAGTGAAGATGGGGGTGAGAAGAGGACCAAGGGCTGAGCCTTAGGCACTTTAAGAGGTCAGGGAGAGGAGGAGGGATCTCCATAGGTAACTGAGGACAAGTGGTCAGAGAGGTAGAAGAGCTGAGAGAAGACAAGAAAGAAAGTATTTCCAGGAGGAGGGAGTTGTCAGCAATGTCATTATTTGTTAGTATGTCGAGTAAGCAAAAACCTGAAAGTCCATCATTTGATTTAGCCAAATGGAAGTCACTGATGACCTTGACAGGAGTTGTTTTATTAGGCTGGGGATGGGGGCACAAAAGGCTGCTTGGAGCAAGCCTTAGAGAGCAGGGAAGGAGAGGAGTTGGAGACAATGTGTATAGAACACACTTTAGAGTTTCTATATAGAGAGGATCAGAAAAATGAGTGGTAGCTAAGGGAGAGAGTGGAGTCATGAGGGATTTTTTGAGCTGAGAGATGACAGCATGTTTACAAGCTGCTAGTAATGAAGAAAAAGATGATGGAGGAAAGGGGTGTGAGTTGCTGGAGGGATGTCTTTGAGTAGGTGAGAGCAGAGTGATTTAGTGCACTTTAGAGGGGTTCACCTGAGACAGAAGCAAGGGTAGTTCCATCCCAGAAATGGAGATGGAGAAGAGCTAAGCATGGACTCAGGTATGGTTGGTGGGCAGTTGTGGCAGGAATTCCTGCTAACTTTTCTTCTGCTCACGTGACTTTTTCAATTTAGGGAGTCTCAGTTACTTTTTCTCTCTTTCTGTCTTGTGATCATCATGATAGAGAATTAATACACAAAGACCAGAGGGATTTTGGAGTAAAAATCTGGTGTTGATAAGGGAAACATACGGAAACATGACAAGAGCTTATAATAGTCCCATTGGGAACATTTCCCAATACTGTTGGAGTGTGACGGGCTCCGTCCAGACACAATGTCCTGAAAGTTGAGTTCTTATTTGTTTCTTATGAGAGTCTGATATCCCATCAGGAGGTATTTAATAGGGTACTGTCATTAAAAAAGAAAGAAGAGAGAAAGAAAAGGTGAGTGGGGGAGACTAATGTTCTTGTCCCTTTCTCTTCTAGAGCCCAGGAGAAGATTGTTACATTCAAAATGTTTATCACTCAGTTGAGTCTGGCAGTGTTTGATGACCTCACCCACCACAAAGCATCACCTGAGCTTCTGAGACTCACACTGGACAATGTTTTTCTCTGCATGGCCCCAGGAGCTGGTCCCCTCCCTGGGGAAGAGCCTGCGGCTGCGCTGTTTGAACTTTACTGTGTGGAGATCTGCTGTGGGGACCTGCAGCTAGACAACCAGCTTTATAACAAATCCAATTTCCACTTTGCTGTTTTAGTCTGCCAGGGAGAAAAAGCAGAACCCATTCAGTGTTCTAAAATGCAGAGTCTCCTCATATCTAACAAAGAGCTGGAAGAATACAAGGAAAACTGTTTTATCAAACTTTGCATCACCTTAAATGAAGGCAAGAGCATCCTCTGTGATATTAACGAGTTCAGCTTTGAATTAAAACCTGCTCGGTTGTATGTGGAAGACACATTTGTATACTACATCAAGACTTTGTTTGACACTTACCTTCCTAACAGCAGGTTGGCTGGTCACTCCATGCACCTCTCTGGGGGTAAACAGATGTTGCCCATGCAGGTCACACAGCACGCCAGGGCCTTGGTGAATCCTGTGAAGTTACGGAAACTGGTGATCCAGCCAGTGAATTTGCTCGTCAGCATCCACGCTTCCCTCAAGCTGTACATAGCCTCAGACCACACTCCTCTCTCGTTCTCGGTGTTTGAAAGAGGACCCATCTTCACCACTGCAAGGCAGCTTGTGCACGCCCTGGCAATGCACTATGCCGCGGGGGCCCTTTTCAGAGCAGGTAAGAACACAAGCTGAGGGTCTGTGATGAGCTAGAGCCTGGGCAGAAATGACAGGCTTGGGGGTAGCACCTCATTTCAAGACCTAAAGAAGCAATTGGCAAGAGGTAACACACCTGAGCTTTACAGTCACACACAACTGGATCTAAATATAGAGCCTGCCACTGTTAGCTGTAAGACTTTGGGCAAGTTATTGAACCTTCTTCCTGAGTCTCCATTTCCTCATCGATAAAATGGCTTTGAAGATTTCTGAGAGGATCAGATGAAAGTATGTGAGGTATCCAGCATTTTGCTTGCCATTTAATTAACATTCAAGCAGTAGTAGCTGTTCTGTAACTTAGAATTTTAGTTCAGTTTAGCAAACACTTTTTTTTAGCACCTTGCAGGCACAGAGCCCTTTCTTAGCACCCTAGAGCAACCAGGAAAGCTAGCCCAGGTCTTCAGTCCCTGGGCCTAAAAGAAGTCCAGTTCTTGTTTATTAGTTTTCTTCATTGCTATTCATGAATAGCAGCAGGTGAGAAATTCAGAGGATTTGTGTGCTCGTAAGATGCACATTGAGCCCTCTATCTATCCAGTGCTGTACTGCCTGTCTAGACAGCTGGCAAAGCGAAGGCTGTGAGTGTGTCAGCCTCTCCACAGACCTGAGCTCAAAGAGAAGGAATGGCCCTTCCACTCTCTGGGGCCAGGCAAGTGGCCTATTGCAGGCTGAGGGCTGCTGTTTCTCAGAGACTCCGTGGAAAAGGTAAGGATTCCTTCAGTCTGGCTGAAAAAGTCTGCAGGGGCTGGCTTGAACATGCATGCAAAATTTTGTAGAGGGACTACTGTGTCCTAGAGACTGGTGGGTAGCGGGTGCAGTGGCTCATACCTGTAATCCCAGCACTTTGGGAGGCTGAGGTGGGAGGATCACTTGAGCACGGGAGTTCAAGACCAGCTTGGCCAACTGGTGAAACCTCGTCTCTACAAAAAATTAAAGTTAAAAAATTACCCAGGTGTGGTGTCGTGCACCTGTAGTCCCAGCTACTATGGAGGCTGAGGTGGGAGGATTGCTCGAGCCCAGGACTTTGAGGCTACAGTGAGCTATGATCACATCACTGCACTCCAGCCTGGGTGACAGAGCAAGATCTTGTCCCAAAAAATAAAGATTGAGTGGTGGGAACCATGTGGTCTCAGGGAACATTATGGTAATCAGCATCACAGTGTGTGTTCCTGAGCCAAGTTCACTCTAAAGCAGTTTTAGTTTGATAATTGGGCTCCCAGAAATTCAAGCAAAGAACAGCATCCAGAGTTAGCCTTGTCAGCCCTTTCCAATAAAAAACATGGAAATCTTACTTTCTGAAAGTAACAGAGGAGAGAGCCTTTGTTCTATCCTCTTTGCAAAGCTGTACTTTGTGAATGCATTCCCATATAAGATTAAGATTGTAGCAGTAAACGACCTGTGTTATTGCCATATTGGTCAGATTACATTTTCTCCATAATGAAATTCATAGACTTACTAGGGTTATCTAGACTCTTTTATAAAAGATAACAACAAGATCAGGGAGAGGGTCCTGCCAGACCTGTTGTCTTGATAGCTTGCACAACAATGAAGAAAACATTTCCCTCTTGCTAAAAACTTATTTAAAAATAAGCAGTTCACATTTCAAATTTAACAGATGGGTGTATTTATAAACAATTCCAGAAACCTTCCCTTCAGGCAATCTTTGCTTTTTCACATAAGCAGCAGGCACGTAGGTTACTGAGCTCCAGTCTGAGGCCTGGCAAGGACGAAGGCTCCCATTCAGTCTCTGCACGACTCAGCAGTGCAGTAAGCAGCAGGGAAACTCTACCTGTGGCACCAAGTAACGGGCCGTGCAGCCCGTGTGCTAAAAACGAGCTCTTCGTTTTGGTTTATATTTTTAATGAGCTTTCACAAGAACATTCTATTTGAATTTTATATAATTCACCTAAAAATCCTCTAAGCTGCCATTCCAATCTCACTGTATACCAACATAAGGGATTCTAATATAGAGGGCCAAGTTTTCAGAGCCTGTTGGAAACTCTGTCACTAAAAATCTATGGACAATCTGAAGATCATCTGGAAGAAAGCAGTGATTGCAGGAGTAGGAAATGGGAAGATGCTGGAGGCTCCAGACTCCCAGGTGATCCTTGTCGAGGGAAGGGAGAGAGCTGGCTGCAGGTAGGCAAGTTGCCCACCCACATCTCACTTGGGTCAGAGTGCCCCTGCCTGTCATGGAAAACACCCTTACCTCATTTCTAGGGAAGTTGTGGTATCAACTTGAAGAGATTTTAAAAATAAACAGGCCAGGTGCAGTGGCTCATGCCTGTAATCCCAGCACTTTGGGAGGCTGAGGTGGGTGAATTGCCTGTGCTCAGGAGTTCGAGACCAGCTTGGGCAACACGGTGAAACCCCGTCTCTACTAAAATACAAAAAATTAGCCAGGCATGGGGGCGTGCGCCTGTAGTCCCAGCTACTTGGGAGGCTGAGGCAGGTGAATTGCTTGAACCTGGGTGGTGGAGGTTGCAGTAAGCCAAGATCGCAGCACTGCACTCCAACCTGGGCAACAGAGCGAGACTCCATTTCCAAAAACATAAAAAATATTTTAAAAATTAAACAACTAAAAAAGGTAGAGGTAGGAGAGGCAGAATGAAAATAAATAGTAATTGGAAATCAGTAACTGACCCTGTCTGAAAGAATGCATGTGGTCTTTATCCTGAGGCCCCTCTCTAACCCAAAGGTTTAGTTTGATAGGAGCCAGGCAGACTCCCTTCTTCAACACAATTTCCAAATGACCGAGCAAAAGATAGATTTGCTATTGCAGGACAATAAAGGAGTACCTTTGGATCTGTCTGCCCCCTTCTGTCCAGCTCAGATGCCACTGAGATGTAGCTCTGGCCTCCACATAGCCCTTCTATCAGGCAGTGGCTTCAGGCTTCAAGGATTCCAACCCCACCACAGGGGAGAACCTGCCACTGGCAGGAAGAGGAGGCCAAGGCAGATTCCCACTCCCTCTCTGCACCCGTGGCACCAAACTGAACAGGCCTGTCATGGGGGACACTGCTTGGCCATAGCTACTCTCTTTTCTTTTATACATGGACTCGTTGGAGAGATGGGGAATTAAGATGTTTCTAGACCAACCTTCTGCCATTAGGTACACCCTTACAGCCATTCAGGGCTAAAGGGAATCTGCTGTTTCTTTACCTCCAGAGAAGGCCCTCCATGGAGGAATATTCCACAGCCTCCCCAGCTCCTTAGCCTACTCTTTGCAGCCTGAGCTCACAGAAGGAAGAGGTGGGTGGGCTTCGGAATTAGGAAAACCTGGGTTGGAAACCCAGCCCACAGGTGGATCATCCAGGGGACTATGAGCAGTTGGCTTAGTCTCCAAGCCTCAGTCTCTCCCTTTTCCTGCCTGTGAGGCCATGGAAGCAGTACCACCATGTTGCATGCACCTCTGCCTCCTGTGCCTGGTCCATTCCCTGACCCAGGCAGCAGCTCAGTCACCAGCTAACCTGCACTGATTTGAAGGGAGAGAATACTTTTCTTGCAGTTACTGTGAGAATTAAATGTGTTGAATGCCTGGCATCCATAGGGTCTCTCATTTGTAATCTTTATCTTCCAGAAATTATTCCCTCCTTTGCCCTAAGCTCTAGTGTTATCATCCAAACGTTCCAGAGAAGGGAGGAGGGCTCAAAATTTAAGAACGTCCCTCTCTTCATGGGCTGGGCATGGGATTCTTTGGGACCTTGGCTGTTGTGCCCTCACCTTCCCGATCCCCTCAGATCACTGAGCTGCAGATCTCTGTCACAGGACTGCCCTCCTCTTCAGAGCCTGCTGGTGAAGGAGGGATGGCTCCCACCCAGTCCTGTCCCTACAGCCTTCCCATTGCCAGGTCTGCGCACCAGGCTGGGGAGGTTGGTGGCTTCCCAGAGAAAGCTGTCTTTTCGGACTCCTCTCTCCTGGCCCTCACTTGCCCCTCCAATTTTTGGGGCCTACATCCCCAAATCCCCACCCCAGGGAGCCAGGGTAAGGGCAGTGCCTGCGGGACTCCACACACAGCCACGTTCCCATGGGGCAGCAATGGCTGCGTGGCAGGCCAGCTTCTGGTCAGCCCAAGCTTCAGGAGGAAACCAGATTCAAAGCTGCCCTCCTGGGACATGCACAGGTGAACACTCCCCTCTCACTAACCTCATCAGAATGTCCCTGTCACAGAGTTCAAGACCAGCCTGGCCTACATGGTGAATCCCCATCTCTACTAAAAATACAAATAAATAAAGAAAGAAAGAAAGAAAGAAAGAAAGCCAGGCGTGGTGGCATGTGCCTGTAATCCCAGCTACTTGGGAGGCTGAGGCAGGAGAATCACTTGAACCCGGGAGTCAGAGGTTGCAGTGAGCCGAGACCACACCACTGCACTCCAGCCTGGGCAAAAGAGTGAGACTCAATCTCAAAAAAAAAAAGTCCTTGTCGCCAGGGTTTACATAACCGGAGCTGGGATCGAAGAGTCCAAGACATTTGTCTGGCTCTAGCTCTGCTCCAAAGGGAAGCACTCAACTCAGTAGGATTGGGAAAGATTAAAAACAACCCCTCCATTCTTGTCAGAAGTTTGCATCCCCTTTGCAACACACTATTGAGCATCTGGCCACCCCCGACCAGGCATCTCCTCCTATCCTGGTGCCGCCTCTGTCCCGGGGAGGCTTTAGAGAGAACCTCCCACCTGCAAACACCTGCAGCCCAAGAAGGCGCCCTTCCTCAGGTGGTGGCAGAGTGTGTCCCCAGCACATGGACCCCTGTTAGCAGGAATATGGGAGGCTCGGGCCAGACAGTTACATTAAAGCCATTTGTGGGGCCATCAGGGGATCACTTTGATTTATAAAGTATGAAAGTTTGCCATTTATGAATTCACAGGGAATGACTTATTTCCCTTATTTTCTTCCAAAGAAATGGATTACTTTCCCAATTCCAGTGTGAAAAAATGAATTGCAGGGGAAATGGGTCAGTTTTTCACAAATGTTCAAAGTTCTGCATTTGAGGTTTCAATCACCCCTTCCCTCTGGTCCATTGCAGGCTGGGTAGTTGGGTCTCTGGAGATTATTGGCAGCCCTGCAAGCCTGGTGAGAAGCATCGGGAACGGGGTCGCTGACTTCTTCAGGCTTCCGTACGAGGGGCTGACCCGGGGCCCCGGAGCCTTCGTGAGTGGCGTCTCCAGAGGGACTACATCGTTTGTAAAGCACATCTCCAAAGGTAGCGGTTTCCGTTCCTTGCAATAATGCCTTTACTCCTTCCCTTTTTTTTTTTTTTTTTAAAGAATGTGCATTCAGATTGCCTCTAGCTTTGGCCTGTTAGCTTGCAGTGAGAGTTTGGATTTGTAACAGAGCTCATAATATAATGTCTTATGTTTTGAACAGATCAGTACTTGCCTGTGGTGTGTGAAAATGTTTCAGAAACTTCAGAATTTTAAGCCTCCCATTGGGAAAACAAGGATTGGCTCAACTGTTATTCCATGTGATAAACATAGAAATATTAAAGGTGTTCAGGATTTCTGCTAAACATCAGAAACCCTACACTGTGTTGCCTCCATATTTTTTTAAATGTAGATACAGTTGTCATAACTTTCTGAAGGATATGGATACATTCTGACATGGAAGCAGATTTCGGGGTGAAACAGCCAACTTTTCTCTAGCACGCCACGTAAACAGTGCCATCTTGTGGCCCAGACAGGTCATCAGGCACGGAGGCCAAAGTGCTTTCCCACAAGGACAGTGTTTTAGTTTTATCTGTGTGTGTTTGCTTGATGTTATTTTGGTCAGCTTCGCAGAGACTTGGGAACTAACAAGGGCCATCTGAGTCCCCTTTTCTTCTCAGTGGGAGGCAAGGAAAACAGGGCAAAGGGCTTCTTCCCGTAAAAGGCATCTGACCATAGGCCATAGGACAGGTTGTAGAAGTCTCTGTAAGGCACAAAAGAAGACTTGATCTTGAAATAGGAGAATGCGTGATCCATAGAGGGGGTGAGGGACTATGGGTGGGCGGGCTGGCAAGAGAACAGCCAGAGTCATAAAAACAAATTCCACAGACAATGAAAAGGACACTCCCCCAGGCCTCAAATCATCTGGGAGGCCTGGGGGCTGAGTTGCAGAAATCCACCCCAGGAGTCACTGGCAGACTGCTCACTCTTGACACTGGAATCTCTGTGGTTCTGTTGTTTTTATGTTAAAATAAGACAACCAACACCTGCTAAATTGAACCTCAGCAGTATTTTCAGCCTACTGACTCACTGAATGTTTTTTACACTTGTTCTCTTCTTCTCTTAGCAAAATCTGTTTGGTTTGTTGGCATCCCTATGTGTGTGCACACACGCAGATATTTTTCTTTTCAGATTACTGGTAAAGATGCAGCTGCAAAAACGACATTGAGCATTTCTTCCTGAAACTGGACCTGCAATAACAGATGAGCTAGTTTGTTAGCGTCCAGATCTGTACATGAAAGTCGCTCAGTTTTGCTCACTGAGACGTGTGCAGACCTGCTAGAGGAATTGTGGCTGTTGTGACCAAATGCTAAAACAGCCTTCCTTAGGAAAACCAGACAGATTCACAGCTCTCACATGATTTACTCCCTTTATTCCCCTCACTGTTTTTTCAGTTAATATCCTGAATATCAAAATTGCACATATTCTCCATGGCACAATAGTTACATCCTCAGAATGGCAAATGATAAGGTTTAGTATCTCCCCCTTTGTTATTACTGAAGTTATAGGGAGGGAATAAAATTTATTCCTAAAGTTGAAATATTTCTTTATCATCTTTCTAAAACTTAGCAACGTAACTTTACCCTTTAAAATCAGAGCAGGCAGATTTTAACCTTCAAAATTGGGCCTCAATGAAGGCATCAATACTGTTTTAATCAAACCTTGACAAATTCAATTATAGTGAAGGATAGTTTCATGTGAAACTCTAGGCTGCTCTCTGGCACCTGTGATTCTTCCCCTTTGAAGAGTGTCATCACCCCTGTGGGCAAGTGTTCCTCTTTACCTCATTTTCTTTTAAATTTTATTGTATCTTATTTGAGACAAGATCTCACTCTGCCACCCAGGCTGGAGTGCAGTGGTGCAATTGCAGCTCACTGCAGCCTTGACGTCCTGGGCTCAGGCAATCCTCCCACTTCAGCCTCCTGAGTAGCTGAGACTACAGATGTGCACTACCACACCCAGCTAATTTTTTAACTTTTCATAGAGACAGGGTTTTGCCATGTTGCCCAGGCTGGTCTCAAACTGCTAGGCTCAAGCAATCCTCCTGTCTTGGCCTCCCACAGTGCTGGTATTACAGGCGTGAGCCACCGCCCCAGTTGTTTACCTCTTAAGACTCTTTCTTCAAATTGCCTGAGAGGAAGCCACCATCACTTGCCACTGGGCATGTCCAAGAGGGCCCACAAGTGTTCCCACTGCCTCTGAAACTACTGCCTTGGGGTCCCTCATGTATGTGACAAGGAGGCTAACTCCATGCTCTTATTCCCTCAGGTACCCTCACATCCATCACCAACCTGGCCACAAGCCTGGCCCGGAACATGGACCGGCTCTCACTGGATGAGGAGCACTACAACCGGCAGGAGGAGTGGCGGCGGCAGCTCCCCGAGAGCCTGGGCGAGGGGCTTCGACAGGGCCTGTCCCGGCTGGGCATCAGCCTGCTTGGTAAGGGGCTGTGGGGCCTCCCACCTGTCTGCAATCCAGCAGACTGAGGTGCAGGGTCTCCCAGGACTGGGCAACCTCGCCTTCTGCCTGGGGATGACTGGGAAATGCTCAGAGAAGGTAAGGCACTTGCTCTGAGTTCCACAGTGCATCCCGCTGAGGGCTCACCTGCACAGCCGCACAGGCAGCACCTGTGTTTGCTTTGTGTATGAAATGTATCTTGGGCCTCACTAAAGTTCTTAAAAGAAATCCTAATTTGATAGGACCCGCTCTAAGCATAGTGGTGTCTGCACGAGGACAGCAGCATCCAGCTGTTTGCTTTCTGAAGAATATGATAGGCAACCCTTCCGAAGCACTGGCTCCCTCACTCCCACACATGCTGAGCCGCTTCTTTTGTTTGAGAAGCACTAGAGCAACATGCAAATGTCATGTAAACTTCAGTGAGGAGCACACTTTGTCCTTTTACTTTTTTGAGATCAGCCTGACTCAGAGCAATTATTGTTTGTAGAGCAGCCAGATGGTATAGAGGTGAAGATTGCTATGCATATTTCAAAATACTACAAATGTTTGAAAATAAGTTGCTTTAAAAAAATCTATAAAAAGGAAGCTTCAGAGCTAAAAGCTTGCAGGGCAAGATTATCAAGGATTTTTTTGTTTATTTGTTTGCAAAGGAATTTAAAACTGTATTGCTTGGCAATGTGCCTGTCCCGCATCTGAGGGAGTGTGCGCCTCCCAGAGATCAAAGTCACCCAAAGCAGTGCAGAGCAAAGGGTAGAAAAGATGAGTTTGAAAGGACTTGCCCTCTCTCTGATCTTCAGTTCTCTACGGAACTCCTCGATTGGCAACTGCAGCCAGCTGAGGCTCTGGGAGGAAGTGGTAAAATGGTACAAGTTCAGGTTAAGTTGCTAGAAATTATATAGGTAAAAACATTCAGTGGTGTGGGGCACTGTCATATGTGGAAACTGGGAAGCTGGTGACCTGTGATAAACAAGCTGGGTAAAGGAGCAACCTTCTTGCTTAACTCAGTAACCCAAAGGTGATGGTGACTCCTTTGGGGAAGGCGGTGTGGCAGGGGACCCTGCCCTCAGAAGCCCCAGACCTCGGGCTAGGGTGTCCAAGTCCTTTCTTTGTGACCTCAGAGAAGTTCTTCTCTGAACCTGAGTTTTTCTTTTGTATATTGGGCCTGGTGATACTATTGTTAGAAGTAACAGTGGGTAGTTAGTTATATGGCAGCCACCATGCTCATGTTTGGTAAACAGCACCTATCATTATCATAGTATGGTAGCAAATGAACTGTAAGAGTTGCCTGGTTTCCAAGAGTGTCTCCGCAAAAAGAAACATCTGAGCAATGGCAGGAATATTTTCCCTTAATCTAATGGATTAAGTGGCTGTAACCAGAGGAAGTGACAATGAGGTTATATTGAGGATCTTAAGGTCATTGTTTTGCAACTCTGGACCTGTTGATGCTATTAATTGGAGGCTTAAGTACCACTACTCTGGGGTTGAGAGCTTCCCTGTCTCCAGCCCAGCCCCTCTGAGAGAGAGAGAGAGAGACCAACCCACCCACCCCTGGGCTGGCTGGTGTGTGGCTGTCTCCACTCCAAACCCGACGCCCTTCCCGCCCAAGGGTTCCAGTCTCTTCTCACTCAGAGAAGCCCCAGCCAATGCTCCGTTTTCAGTGTGTAAGACTGTACCTGATAGGAAAAATCAGTTGTGTGAGGAGTCACGAATCGGCCCCGATGAGGTCATCTTTCTGGGCGTGGGTCCTGTTGACAGGGTAAGTCACAACGCTCTGATCTTTGCTGTAGTCATTGTGTCTTGCATATCCTTATCCATGTGAGGGAATTCATTTTTGGAAACTGCAGTGGGCTCATGGGGTCTTTGTGCATATCTGGTAATTTCCAGAACATTAGGAATTCTTGGGGTAACATAAACCTCCTCTATAGATGCTGGCTGCATCTCCCAACACTGGCCGGCCCCAGTCCCAGCCCAACCCACCCCCTGAGCAGTGTGTCCATGTCAGGGCTCTGCAGAGTTCACAGTGGGCATCTCAAGCTTGGCTCAAACCAGCTTCCTTTCCTGTAAGACTTCAAGAGCCTTTGTTTCATGTAATCGTTGAGTTATCTCAAAATGTCTGGTCCTAGAACTACCAGGTGTGTGGCAAGAAGAAGAAAGAGGGGAGTACAACAAACTGAATCTCCTCACTTTGGAAAGTTATAGATTGGCCACCATTTAATTCTTCCCCAGAAATGGTGTTTGAAATTGCCATATACAATGCAGTGCCTAATTGAAGTTAGAGCCATTATCACATAATAATTTGAAACCCAGGCCAGGCACATGGCTCACACTTGTAATCCCAGCACTTTGGGAAGCCAAAGCAGGTGGCTTGCTTGAGCCCAGGAGTTTGAGATCAGCCTGGGCAATGTGGCAAAACCCCATCTCTACAAAAATGAAATATAAAAATTAGCCAGGCATGGTGGCACATGCCTTTGGGCCCAGCTACTCAGGAGGCTGAGGTGGATCGCTTGAGCCCAGGTCAAGGCTGGAGTGAGCTGAGATTGCACCACTGCACTCCAGTCTGGTGGAGAGAGTGAGACCTTGTCTCAAAATAATGACAGTAATAATAATAGTTTTAAACCCATGCCAGTGAAATATTCTAGTTGCTCAGTTTCTTCAAAAAGACACAAAAGTCAAGGACCCAGTTCATAAAAATATATTAAAGGAAAAGTTAGAGTTGGCAAAGCATTTTCAAAGGTGTCATCTTATTTGATCTTCACAACCCTTCACAACTTCATAACCCTTCACAGCTTCACAACTTTGAATGAGGTAAAGTGACTTAGCCAGGTCAAACCTCCAGCAAGGACAGGAGCCCGGGCCTTTCCACCATGTCGCCTACCCCTGTGGAGCTCCAGGCCTGGAAACCATCAGGATGTGGGGAGATTGAACAATTTCAAGTTCCAGTATAGGAAAAACACATTTCCCCCAAATGTTTATGGGTTCGGGAGGCCTTCTTGACTCTGCTTCACCCTCATGGGAACCCTATGGAGCATTATGAGGCCCTTGAAAATTAAAGCAAGTCTTTAATTTATGCCCAGCCGCACTGCCCCAGGTCAGCAAGGAAAAGTGTCTGCTGGCTGAGAGATGCCGCCGAGGCTTTTGGATGAGCTCCATGACAGTTTTCCAAAAGCAACGGCTTTTGGAAAAACTCTGTTTAGCCTGCAGTATTGGCATCAGCCTTGCCCACATTTACCAGATCTGTTCCCCAACACCCACACTTTCTACTACACTCTGGAGCCTGCACTGAGAAAGGATATGCAGCTCCGCATCACAACTGCGTTCTGCGTTTCCTCCCAGACCTGATGCCTTCTCATGAACACCAAAGTCAGGATGTCAAGAATTGCTCCTCTGACTCCCACTTCTTTTGGGATGCTTCCTGGTTTGTGACACGCTGCTGGATTCCCCAGAGACCACCTCCTCTCTCTTCATAGGCACTCTTGGCTATGCCATCTGGAATTCCAACAAAACAGGCCTCTGCCAGGTGAATCAGAAAAGTCCCCTCCGAGGGAGTGACTCAAGAGTTGCATATCCCAAGAGACAGCCCTTAAGACCACCATCTGCCATTTACTGACTGGTGTGTATTATAGTCAGTGCAGAATTTAGGAATGACAGGCAAAGTGCTTCCTTCTTGGTTTGCTCATCTGTTCTGGTCAAAAAAGCAGCACTGAGCTGGAATGCACAGTATACTCTATGCATCTCGTTTCTTTCTGGAATGGCGAGCTGTGGCGTGGTATCCCATCTTATGCCTGTCCTTCTGATAGTGTGCCAAAAAAAATGCCAGAAACAAAATTACACCACATGGTAAAGACAGCATCAAAATAGATGCATCACAAGGAACTTCCATAGCTCAGTGACCAAGTAGTTTCTGCCCAAGGCTTAGGAGCAAGTCACAGAAAGCGGTGAGGGAAGGCGTGGTGGTCTCCTGCTCCACAATGAAGGCCTTCCTCCTCCTCCACCTTCCAAGGCACAACAGGCAATAGCTCCTGTGTCCTGTGGGGTACAGCACTCACTCAGTCCTGGAAACCCCTCCCAGGCACGCTCTTCTGTCCACTGGCTTCATCAGATCACAGCCATCTCCATGTGGCCACCCACCCCGTGGGCCTAACGCCAGCAGACAAGTCTTGGGATCAGTTTCCACTCTTGAAAGCCTTCAAGCAGAGTTTGAGTCTATGACAGTCCATAATTTACCAGTTGAGGGATTTACTTCAGAGGATATACTTCAGAGGAGAGCCATTCCAGGCTCTGAGAGAGGCTGCCTCTCTCAAAGCAGGGCTGCAGGGACCATGAAATGGCTGCTGGTCTCTTAGCCTCTCTGTTCCCCAGCTTGTGAGCACAGAGGTAGATAAGGCACCTGGTGGCTGGTGAGGAGTTGGTGTGACAGGCCAGCTTTTCCCCTCAAAGGTCTGCTGCTGAGCCCGGGGCAGGTGGTTCCACAGCTCCCTCTCTGACTCTCAGAATCTAACACCTTGTCATGGGACTCAGGCTTTCCACTTTTGGGGAGCTGCCCAAATTGTCTTATCTGTCAAAGCCACAGTAACTGGAGCCTTCACTGTGGCCAGAGAAAACGGAAGAGCAGAACAGAGGGAGCTTCACTTGATACCTGCGTGCGATGGAGCAGCTGGCTGTCAGCACCCTGTGCGGGTGACTGCGGCTGGCCCAGGCTCCACTCTTTGATTTGATGCTGTTCACTTTGAAAATCTGCTGAGGTGACCGGAAGAGAATACCCAGGGTTCCTCCCTGTCCCTCCCTGTGGCCACTCTGACTTCTGATCTTCCAAATGGAGTGGAGCGTCAATGGCAAATGAGGGGCGCTCCTAGCCGAGCGCCAGGCCTGGCTAGCTGTGATGCTGAAAGAGTGACCCTCACTCGATAGCTGGGGTGGCCTGGGCCTGCTGGGAGCAGCTTCCTCTGCTCACTCTTGCCATTTCTGTATAAGGTTTGGCAGCACGACTCTAGGCTGGGAAACAGGCCTGTTGCCTCAGGTCATTCTGAATCTGTCAATGCATAAACTTAAATGTCTCTGTCAAAACCTAGAGGAAAGGAGTCCATGAAAAACATTCCCTTTACAATTGACGTGATGTGCACTAAAATTTCTACATCAGAGCATTTTCATCAATTCTAGCAGTTTTGAGTTGAAAACAGACAATTCTGTCAAGAATTGTAAAGAAATTTTCCCTTCTGAGTTAGGGAGCCCTCCACTCCATCATGAAAAAAAATCAGAATGGTGAGGCTTTTCTAGCTCTCATTGTTGGCCTCTCAAAGCAGGAGTAGCACAGGGGCCGTATCCACAGGACTGCCTGAGGGGCTCCTTTCATCTTAACTGCCTCAGGCTCAGTGCAGGAGATGGACGCCCTGTGCTACAGCTGTGGGAGCAGAGCCCCAAGGGGTTTTGGTCGCTATTCTAAGTGAGGAGTAAGCGGCCAAACCTCAATTCAAGTGAGAGAGAAAGGTTTTTCCAAGATTGGCAAAGAGGAAGAGCCTGTTTTATAAATGGGATAAGCGAATCTCTTGGTGGTTAAGAGCTATGCTGTGACTCACACTCTCTGTACACTTAACAGCTGTGTGACCTTGGGAAAAACTCCTTAACCTCTGTGCCTCAGTGTCCACATTTGGATAAAAACAATGTCTGACTCCTGGGAATATGAGGATCAAATGATCTCATACAAGTAAAGCTTTTAGCACAGTCCCCAGACCTAGTAAGCATTCAAGATAGATAGATTACCTATAATCAAAATAATAATTACTATATCAATAATTACTCTTAAGTATTAATACTACTAAATTATGATTATGATTATTATTAAAAGTGGGGAGTTAGAAAGGGGCTTAACCCCTTCCAGGTTTTCATCTTCCTGAATCGGTGCAAATGTATTGGGCTGAACACTCTTTCTCTGCTCCTGAGGAATTGTTAGCTCCTCTCTGTAAACTGTGTTGCCTGACTTCAGAGGAAAGATGTGTGGATGACACTGAAAAGACTGACAGGTTTGTTAAATTCTGAACTAAACTTCACAGATCCTGACTGTGTGGACCAAACTCCATCTGAATATTGTACTTTGATGACAATAATAAATGTCTACTGCCCTTGGTGTACTTAGGTAACTGGTAAATAAATGGATAGTAAAGACCTTTACAATGAGGGTGGGGACTCATTTTCAATCCAGATAAAACTGTGTTCCAGATGGAGCCTTTCATTTTCCAAAAATTTTAAGCCTCTGTCCTTACTGAGGGCTTTTGTTATTCCAGGTGCAATTGCCGGTATAGTTGATCAGCCGATGCAGAACTTCCAGAAAACATCTGAGGCACATGCTTCAGCAGGACACAAGGCCAAGGGTGTCATCTCAGGTGTGGGGAAAGGAATCATGGGGGTGTTCACAAAGCCCATCGGAGGAGCTGCTGAGCTGGTGTCACAGACTGGTTACGGTAAGTTGGTGGAAAACCCATCAGGCCAACCCAGACGTTAGTGATTTGCATGATTATACCAAGGGTTCCCTAAGATAGTGTAACCTTTCACATGGTAGAGGAGTAAAAGATAAATAAATAGTGGCTATCTTTCTTACCTCTCTATGCTTATTTACACAGAGTAGAATTTTACTACTAATAATAAAACCGTAGAATCAGGAAACCAGTTACTAGTTTCAGTGTGTATGTCACAGAATCTTTTTACAGTACACTTGATAGACCAGTTTAGAGGTTGAGGGCAGAATGGAGAATACCACAGAGAAAAGAATTAACACTTTTTCCTATGAGAAATGTGGAAGGAGTGATAGGTTGTGGGAAGATAACTTTAAGAAGCAGTAGAGAATGAGACAGAGTGTGGACGTGCACATGGATCTTTGGGTTTGGGGTGGCCTTCTCACCCACAGACGCCATCCTGCTCCTCACAGCCAGGCCGGGGCAGAAACAAAGGATCTGCAACTAAAATCCCTTTCGCAAGCAGACAGCTGTGGAGTGCATGGGCACACGGCACTACCTGCACTTGGATGGGCGTGCCAGGGCCTCTCCCCGTGCAGCAGTGTGCACACGAGTAATGGGTGCCTATGAAAGGAAGCACCTCCTCCCAGGCTTATTTTCTGCATTCGTGGCAGAGCACATTAAAGTGACTTTCCATAAACCTGTGGCTGGAACCGTTAACATTTTACCTAAAATTGGTGTCATCATTTTGGTCATGAAGCAGGCTGTCTAGCTAGTATCACAAACCACAGAAGCACCCTCCCGTTTGTCAGACATGTAAGCACACTGTGTCTGCATCCACATCTGGCCATAAAGCCCACGGGATGTTTCAGGGGAGGCATCCTGCTCCTCAGCAGGCCTGACAAGAGGCAGCCAGATCAGGGCATAAAAACAGCGTCTGAAAGGAAGGGAGTGGAGATGAATGAGTGCCCACACTTCAGGCAGCCATCCGGAAAGCATCCTTTAAGAGACCACACAGACGCCAGCATGTGTTCCTCTTCGCTTTCCCCTCCTCGCCCCCCTCATTTCCCTCTCCTTCTGTGAATGACATTTTCACTCACAGGGAAACTGACAGTAAGATGTGCTATAACCTGTAAGTGGGAAAAGTTAAACTCCCTTATGATACGGACTCCAGTGAGGTAAAGTCAAGTCATACTTCACAAATTCTTTTGGTTTTGAAAATGCCATTGTCCCTCACTGTGTTTCCCAGGGCTGAAGAATGCTCCCTTATGTAAGAAGATCTTACAGCAGAGCTTCACATGGCCTTTTTGGTTTCCATCACTCTTGTAAAACTTTTATTACCGAACTGAAGGTTTTACAAACCACTAACTCTTAGTCTAATGACTGCGTCGTTTATAAACATTTACAAGCCCTCAGAAAGCACACATGCTGTACCATCTTTGGTTCTGGAGAGTCTCTGTAAAGGCCTATGTGGCTGCTGCTGGGTGCCCTCATTTGGTGCTGGCACCAGGGAGAGCATGTCATAAACCAGAGGCCCCAAGCGCACTCATAAATGTACATGGATTCGTGTTTAACAGTTGGATTAAGTCACTTAGCATTTAAATAGTGTATCTAGGCAAAGGGTGTGCCTTTGTATATATCTGTGTTTTTTATTTTTTGACTAGCCTTAGCACAGATACAGAAGTATTAAGGAAGCTAACTAACAATCTAGAGGGTTTTTTTTAGACACAGGGTTTGCCGTCACCCAGGCTGGCATTTAGTCACACAATCATAGCTCACTGCAGCCTCCAACTCCTGGGCTCAAGTGATCCTCCCACCTCAGCCTCCGGAGTAGCTAGGACTACAGGCACGCACCACTATTTATTTTTTGTAGAGATGGGGGTATCACTTTGTTTCCCAGGCTGGTCTCTAACTCCTTGACCCAAGCAATCCTCCCACCTTGATTTGATCTCCCAAAGTTCTGAGATTACACGCATGAGCCACCATACCAGACCTAGCTAGACTTTTTTAACATATCAATTACAAATGATATCTAAGCTATTGTTCATGACCAGCTACTTTCAGTGTTTTTGCTTCCTCTAATTGCTGGTCTATGCTTGGACTGTGTAACACATTCATATTTTAATTTTCTAATGCAAGATCACCAAGGTTAAGAGCATTGTAATGTTTAAAGATTATCTATACACTTGCTTCCAAAGATGTGACATCACTTTGGATCTGTAACATTTTATGGATGGCTCTGAGCAGATGACATCATTGCAGCATGAAACTGTTTTCCAGAAAACAAGTAGTAAAACTCCCTTGCTTCTCTTACCACAGGTATTTTACATGGAGCTGGACTTTCTCAGCTTCCCAAACAGCGCTATCAGCCAAGTGATCTACATGCTGACCAGGCTCCAAACAGCCATGTCAAATATGTCTGGTAAAATTATTGAGATACTTGCTCAACTTTACATCCATACTGTATGTTAATAGCTCCTGGCTTGCTCTCAAGCTAATGGGCTACACTTCCAGGGAGCCCAGGAGTAGCCATTGTTGGCACTGGCATCTCAGGCAGCACAAGAGCACTGTAGAGGGACAGGAAGGGGCTGCCACTGCCAGGTTTGGGGCTAGCTGCACAACTCCTCTGCTCCATACCTAACCACTCAAGGAAAGTCATACATTGGCAGAGAAGCCCAGTCTTGCTAGAGGGCCTGAGATTCCCTGTGGAATGGCCACTCGAATTAGAGGTGCTATTTCTAATGGAGAGAAAAGGAGCTAAACAAAACCAAGGGAAATCTTTATTCCCAAGAGGAAGCAGGTTCTGTTAACCAGAATCAGTGTTTGAGAACTGACAATTAGCTAAAATGAGTAATTGGATTGGTGAGGGCCCTTTGCCCTCGGGGAGGCCGCCCCATTGGTAAATAATGAGCGCTGATAAGTGACCATCTTTTCAAAGCTGGCCCCTGGCCTCACTTTTCTCCTTTTAAACAGGAAAATGCTTCAGTCTCTGGGCAGACCAGAAGTCCACATGGCCCTGGACGTGGTTTTGGTGAGGGGCTCAGGCCAGGAGCATGAAGGGTGCTTGCTGCTGACATCAGAAGTGCTCTTCGTGGTGAGTGTCAGCGAGGACACACAGCAGCAGGCTTTCCCCGTCACAGAAATCGACTGTGCACAGGACAGCAAGCAGAACAGCCTACTCACAGTGCAGCTGAAGCAGCCAAGAGTGACCTGTGATGTGGAGGTACGTTTCAGAAAACAGGGCAAACAAGACTAGCTGCCAGGGAGGTTGGAGTGGCTGCTGGAGACCAAGGAGAGCTGCTACCCAGAGAGGGAGTGTGGAGGCCAGAGGGCCACTGCAAAAGGGCACTGGGAAGCCCCCATCCAGATATGCACATGAGCCCTGTACAGGAGAGCCCAGCAGGCGGCTAGCAGGACTCAAGGTCTGGGGCTAAGTCACCATGTCAGCTGAACAAGACTGATCTGGCTTGGCCGTCATGGGGCTGGGGTGCTCGATGGACAGGACAATGGAGTTACAAAATGAGTGGGTCGGTACAGGAAGGGCCAGGATTGGGGCAGCAATTCCCAGCAACTGCTCCACAAAGGAGGCCCCCTGGTCTGAAAGCCTGAAGTCAGGTCCTTGGCTGCCTGAGGACCCCAGTTGGCTGCAGGGTGCTGGAGGTCTGTGGGTGCTGGAGAGGACCACTGCAGGAGCAAGGGGCATCATGAAAAAAGACTCTCCACTCCCTCCCCTATCCCCAAACCTGGTGACTTCAAGAGTCAACATTTTGTGAGGTGGTCTCTCTCTCACATCCACTGCTTTGTATTCTGTGGCTGTGTTCTTTCCCACAGGATGGTTTCCCACCCCATAAGTACCACAGAATCCCCCCCTGGGGATGATACTTAAGGCTCTTGGGGGCAGCTCCATGGCTGGCTCCTGGCCTGCATAATGTGGAACAGATGCGCAGGCAAGGCATACTGGGTGTCAGGAGTCAGAGCTGAGCCCCGACCAGAAAGACCCCAGCTTCCTGTAGTCCAGCCCAGGGTAAACAGGTGCACCCACTGGAAAACTGCTCTGTGCTCTTCCTCCTTGGGTGATGGCCTGATCCATAAGACCCTAATTATTTACATAAGAAACAGCCATCTTTTTCCACACAGCAAGATGGTGGTGGATCAGTGGCAAACTGGAGTCTGCTGGTCCTAACCTGGGGACTGAGTGGCCCCAGCAAAGCACAGCAAACCTGCCCCCAGTAGGTTCTGCCTGATCCTCCTTTCATTATTCTCTTCCTGCGATGGGGGCATGTATCTCCGTCACACCACTGTTTGGGTAAAATTATCTGAGAAGATGGAAAGCAGCCAACCACAACAACTCTAAGATTTCTCTAGTTTCTTGGATCATGATCATAGTCAGGCTTTAAGCTAGGGTTTGGCACCAGGACTACATTGCTCCTTCAAGTTGATGACTTTCTGGGAATAAACAGAGGTCAGATGTCCAGGCTGACTTTATTAGATCTGCCAAGATCTTCTGATCAGTTGACAATAAAGCAGCGGTGATTTGGCAAGGGATAATATCATTACAATTAAGTCTTTAGTCCTTAATGAGAAACTTCCAAGGCCCTGTGACTATCATTATTCCTTAGCTGCTTGGGAAATATTTCAGATCTTAAACTCTTGAGACTGGAGATTCTTTTGCTGTTGAACTGTCTTCAGCTGTGATCCTTCTCTTGTATTTTTGTTTGAGGCAGGTACTGTGGAGAATCATCATAGGCTGGAAGGAAACAGACCTCAGTTTCCCTAGGGGTTGAGATAGTATTTGGAGTCACCACTCCTAAAAGTTGCCAAGATTATTGGGACTGTGGAATGAGGAAGCAGCACTGAAGCTCTGGATACCATTTTCAACACTGATTTTCCATTGCTGTCCAGGGCTGAAAGAGGGTTGGGATTAAGGAATGCCTAAAACAGAGGTGGGAAGACATGACTGAGAGCAGGAGCACTGTGCCTGCACAGCCAAGGCCAGGCACTGGCTGGAAAGTGGATGGGCCAGTGCGCCTTCAGCCTCCACATTCTGCTTTTTCTATTCCACTTTCTCTCTCATTAATATTCCTATTAATGACTTAATAGGAATAACTGCTGCCGTAATCCTGTGTCTGTAACCCCAACCTCTCCTACTCACCCCCAAGAAAACTCAAGCTGCAGAGCATCTTTGAGATTAAACCCTCCCAACTGCTGTAATCCGGAGTATTTTCAACATGAGTGGGTGGGGGAGGGTGGCCAGCAGTGCTGTCTTGTCAGGGAGCTTTCTTGAGCTGTCTTTTAGTGCATCCCAACATAATCCACAGACATAAGGAAGCCTGTCTGCTGTGAACACTTCCAGTGAAGACTAAAAGCAGTATTTTAAGATCTTCTATAAATGACTTTTCTGGTTTTTAGCTTTTGCCTTAGATGCTAGGAAACACAGTTCCTTTGAATTTTGGAAGGAATTAATTTGTAGATGACATCATGCAGTACATTTAAATATGGCAGGATTGAGATTTTTTTTTTTTAAACTCAGCATTTGCTTTTCTTGGTTAAATGCAACCAGTTTAGGGGTAATAATTGCTTAATATGCTTGGCACATTATTGAAATCCCTTATGAGAGGCTCAAAATGAGTCAGAAGGTCAATTTATTCCTTGGCTGGGTTCCTTTCACAACACGGGTTTTCCTGTGCTGCTGTTCGGGAGGAGCAATTAAAACTTTTTGTGTATTCAAAGCTTTCCAGCTGAATTCTAGCCCCATCAAATGATATCAGAGCTCTGGCTTTTGCCTGGTGGTGCAGAGCGTTCATCTGTTAGTGAATCTTTGGGGACCGTTTTTCCCCAAGCTTAAAAACACAAGATCCAAACTCTAAGGGACTCCTTACTTATTTCTCTAGCAAGCCCCTTTACTATCTCTGTGCCATCACACGGACTTTCTCCAGCTGTTAAGACACTTTGATAGCATTGTTACTGGACCACACACAGAACTAGGAAGTCTTTACATTATCATTTCTTCCAGAGTAGTCTTGCCAATGTTCAGTAGGCAAAAACCACAGAAAGTTTGGTGGCTACCTGAGATTCACAAATCAGTGGCTTACAACTGCAAACTTCCCACTCCACTTGATCTACACACTAGACAGCTAAAGGACTTCAGGGTGGGAAGAATTTATAGCTTCAGCTGCCTTTGAATGAGTTGATGAGCACTTTCTCAGAAAATCTCACTGAAGAACCTAGTATATCTCAGTTCTATTTGTGTTCCACTGAAGACGAGCCAGACTTTTATGAACCATAAATGTAGTTTGCATCCTCTTTTTTCCATAAAAATTTCCCCTTCCACTGCCCAGTTTTTCTATTTTCTCTGGCTTTAAATCCTAGGATTTATAAAAGCAGAAAATGTTACAGTTCAAAAGGTTTTTTAATGCTCTGTCCAAAGCCACTGGTTTGAAAGAGGTGTTCTCCACTTTAAGATGTTCTATCTGAAGAGGTTTGGGGAGCTAGGCAAACAGAGCTTTTATTTCAGTGCTGAGTTTAATGTTGAATAGATTTATGTGGAGGAAAGATTTTTCTCCTTTTTTCTTGAGCTGGTTGCTACAGAGCAATGACAGATGTTTTAAGGGTTAGTGAGTAGAATGTTATCAAATCGTCAACTTCAAACATGGGAATTTTACACACCACCAAATGCTTATTCAAAGGAGGCTGTCCTAAGTCTCATGCACAACTTTTGTTATACTGCTAAAAGTGCATTGTTATCATTGCCGTATCTCAGAGGAAAAAAGGAAACATTCTGGATTAATGGCTTTAATAGATGACCTAAAAGGCATAATGTACAAATAAATATATCAAGGCAAAAGAACTAATTCTGTTCTGGAACTCTCATAAGGGTCTGGCAACTAATCTTTATTTTTGGATCCTAGGTAGATGGAGTCCGAGAGAGACTGTCAGAGCAACAGTACAACAGACTTGTGGACTACATCACAAAGACATCTTGTCACCTGGCCCCTAGCTGTTCTTCCATGCAAATACCATGCCCTGTGGTGGCTGCAGAACCTCCCCCCTCCACTGTTAAAACATACTATTACTTGGTTGATCCACATTTTGCTCAGGTCTTCCTTAGTAAATTTACCATGGTGAAAAATAAAGCCCTGAGGAAAGGGTTTCCTTGAGTCCCCTCTGAGGTATTGATTCGTACTTGTGTGATTTAGTTTTTGGGTTTCTTTGAGACAGGGTCTCACTACATTGCCCATGCTGACATCAAATTCTGTGGTTCAAGCAATCCTCCCACCTCAACCCACAAGTAGCTAGGACTGCAGACACATGCCACCATACAGGGCTGCATTTTTTTTAAAAAGCCTAGGCAGCTCTAACATCTGATATGGACACAAGGCCAACAGTTTCCTTATTTAGATCCTTACCTCTAAAAGATACTTCAAAGTGACAAAACCGTGTTCCTTTCCCACTTACAATGATTAGCAGGTCCCTTACCACATACAGAGGATGCATTTCTTTTTGCTCTATGACACTTGCAAAAATTGCTACTGTAATTTGGATCTATTAACTCTCTGTTCCATCACAGAATGTGGCCAGGCCTTACAATGGAGAGCCAGAGTTAAAACTTAAAAGTTGCATCTGTTTTTGGGCTGAGTCACCACGTTTGCCTCATGCTCTTTGGTCTGGAAAGGCCTAGGATTCTTTAAATGAAATGCTTAGGACTTTGTGGCTTATTACATTTGTCACTTAACTGCAATGCTGTTCTTTGATTGAAAGCTGCTATGTGTATTTTCTCTGAAGTCTGCATTTTACTAAAATTTACAAAACAGTCTGATTACTGTCCAGGTACATTTTAGAAAAAGTGTTTTTCCAGTTTGTGTTTTACTAAGCAAACTTTGAGTAAATCCTTTGTCCTATATTGAATCCAGTCCCAAAGTGCTCAGGTGACTTTCTCTAGTTCCATAAACAAAACATACATAGTGGGAACTCCCTGGTATGCCGTAGAGCACACAACCCCAATATTAATGCTAATAATTATACCAGTCCATTTCGTTTATTCTGTGGAATTGACTCGATAAAGCATGAAGATATTCCCAGTGTCTGATAATATTTTGCACCTAAGAATGCGTTTGACTCAAGATCTTGGGTTACCAAGATGTCTTCAATGTTCAGTAAATTATCTTACTTACAGTCCAGTAACTTAGAACATGTTTGCTGATTACATTTAAATTTGGGGCTACAGCTTGTTACCTACAACTTTGAGATGCTAAGATAATGCAATTTTAAATGCCCACGGGTTTTACTTGTTTTGGAGACAGACAGGGTCTCATTCTGTCACCCAGACTAGAGTACAGTGGAACAGTCATGGCTCACTGCAGCTTAAGCTCACTGCCTGGGCTCAAGGGATCTCACTCCAGCCTCCCAAGCGGCTGAGACTGCACCACCACAGGTATACATCACCATACCTGGCTGATTTTTTAAATTTTTTCTAGAGATAAGGTCTCGCTATGTTGCCTAGGCTGGTCTCATACTCCTGAGTTCAAGCATTCCTCCCACCTTCGCCTCCCAAACTGTTGGGATTACAGGTGTGAGCCACCATGCCCAACATCCACTGATCTTCAACTCTCACATGTTGGGCATAAGAAGTCACTATGTAATTGTTACTGGAAAGCAAGATTTAATGAACAATTCTGACTATGAAAAATGGCTCTTTGTTTGTTCTGTAAATACTCATTTAGAAAAGTGACAGTTGTGAACCTCAAAAGTATTTCTAAAAATGTAAATATGTATTAATCCTTGTATCTTTTATGGTAATTTTGCATATTGATATGAATTATATAAAACTGTTTAAAAGGTATCCTTGAATTACTGACCACCCATACATGTCTATTGTTACCAGGTTTTACAATGCAAATTTTCTCTAATACCTGGGTTTAATACAGCTCACATCACTGAATTTTACAAGAGTTTAAATGGGTTAATATACAGGTTTTGTTATAATAAAGTTACTGATTAAATTAGCTTTGAATAAGTGTCGTTTTTTGAAGTTCTCCAGTATCACTTTGCTCGCAATAAACATGAATTGAAGTCCTAAAAAGACCTCTGAAAAAGTACCATACTTTGCTTGTCATTTAGCAGACGTTACTCAATTCTAGTTAAGTAACCTTTTCTGGATTAGATATATATCCAAATTCTATTACATACTGTTAGCTTGTTATTAATAAAGCAATATTGAGTAAGAAACCCTACATTTGAATTACCTATTTCAACTATCTGGTGGTGGCACAGCTACCAAATAGTGACAATGAAGGCCAAGGAATAGATTTTATTAGGATTCTATCTCTTCTTAGAGCCCACAGTACAGTAGTCTTACAGGCTCATGAAGAACACTTTAATCCATGGCCCAAGACCAAGTAACTGCAATGAAACGGACAAACTATCACAGTTAAAGATGTGCTAGAACAATGAAATTTTAAAGAACATGGAAATCAAATTAGCTTCATAAACAGTTAAATCCCAAACCAATTCTGATGCTATTAAGTGCCCTGCATTATCATTAAAAACTAAGAAAGACTTACTGTCCAAAGTATTTGTTAATTGTTTATTTATCAAGAGGAACTATTTCTTAGCCCACATATTCATGTGTCATAGTTCAGGAGTCAGTGACAAACTTCTAGGTAATCCAACCTGAAGAAATTCTGTGAAGAGAAACACAAAGGCTAAGTTAGTGATAAACACTCTCTCAATACTCACCATCTTTGAGGATCAATTGAGGTCTATTCCTACTAGTAGACTTCACACCTTGATCACTCACCCTTAGCCACAGAAAAAGCACAGTTCAGGCTACCTGGACTCCAAGTTTCACTCTCCTTTAAGCTCCTTTAAGCTCCCTGACCACTCTGAATAGCCTCTTTTCCATTTTGGGCATACCACACCTTACTGTCATTGCTTGTGTGCATTGAACAAATTCTGCTTTTTTCCTTCTCCTCAATTCTACGCCCACCACTACCCCCACCCCACCGCCACTGCCCCTTATTTAGCCACATATTGTTTCTGTTCCAAGCCATATTTTTGTTCCTGTCTCCAAATGTTCTCTCATAAAAATGGTAAAAATCTAACAAAGGTAGCCTATTAATATCTTCTGATTATAAAACGCATGCTCCCTGTAAATTTTGAAAATTTCAAAGTTAAAGCAGATATGTTAAGATTATAAACAACTATTAGTATTTTCTTGATCTTTTTTCCTTAATACACATGATACCCAACTTATGATGGTTTGACTTACAATTTTTTGACTTTCTAAGGATTTTCTGGGGTCTTACATGCATTTTTGACTTATGATATTCTCAACATACAAGGTTTATTGGGATGTAACCCCCATATATATAGTGCAACTGAAATGCTTATTTAGGAATACTGCCAAAATAACAGTTTCACATTCTCTGTGTCACAGCAAACTCATTTACAAGGCATAAACCCAGACTGAAGTGTCAAAAAGAGACTTTACATTGTTCTTTTTTGTTAAATATACACATAAGATTCCAGAGTAGGAAGTCTCATCAGGTACTTCATACATGCTATCAAATCAATTTAGATGACTTTTCATCAGCACAGCAGTCCGTCCTTCTCTAGATATAGAACTTTAATTCACACTGTCCATGAGGCATAAGGACCTTGTGAATACAACAGACCAAACCAGACCTATGGAAAGCCAGCTAGTCACTCGTGGACACCCACCTAACAAACTATAGTGTCCCAAATACTTTTTTTTTTAAAAAGTGACTTCTAAAAGTGTAACATTCATAATGCCAATCTAACAATTAATAGTATAACCTATAAAAATGATTTTAAACATAAAAAGTAGTTTCATGTCAGCAAGATAGACTGTGAAGCTCCAGGTCCCCAAACCTCCACAAAAAATAATGAGTAAACATATGGACCAAAAATTTTAAAAAGTTTAGCTTTGTAAGAACTCTAGAAACCAGTTGAGCAGCAACCAAAGGAACCACCTAACCAAGAAAAAGTCACACTCAAAGTAGCAGGAAATGGCATTTTTGCTCACTCTTGCCAAACGCCCTCCTCAGTGCAATACAGTCAGAAGAAAACTACCCTGGTCTCTTCCCTTAGGACATAAAGAATGAAACTGGCCTGCAATGTTCTGGTTTGTATGGAGCTGCCCAAGGGACTGCTTTCTGTCTTGCCTGAATCAGAGTGCTAATGGGAACAATGGCATAGTTTGGACAGGAGGTTGGAAAGAGCTGAAAGCAATAATGGGTACCATGGCATGAGTGAGCTGCAGGGGAACACAGACCTACAGAAACCTGTGGACAAGAGAGCAGAGGCAAAAGAATACAACAGAACAGCTAAGACTCCAAGAGGAAGCTGGAGGCAAACTCAGGAAAACTAAGAAAAACTAAAGGCAGCTGTGTATAGGAGGAAACTAAAACTAACGCATATGCACAGGCCCAGGGAAGATGGCATCCCCAGAAAAAGTTTGAGAGGACACCAAGCCTTTATGGTGCGCTAATCAGTGAAGGCCTTTCCATGCACGGAGCCAGTCTGCACAGGGAGAGGTAGCTGGTTTTGCAAATGCCTGAATTTCACAAAAGATCACAAGGCACATAAAGAAATACAGAAACATGAACAATTGAAAGAAACAAATCTCCACAAACCAACCCTGAAGAAACAGAAGCTGCTGACTTACTCTAAAATAACTTAAGAAAAACTATCTAAAAAATGCTCAATGAGCTAAAGGAGAATGTGGACAACTAAGCAAAATTAGATAAACATTATATAAACAAGTGAGAATATAAACAAAGAGAAAAAGATTTCTAAAAACCAAACACACTCTGGAGGTGAAAAATATAGTAACTGAATGGGGGGAGAAGGGGTAGGAATCACTAGAGGGATTTAACAGCAGACTCAGGCAGAGGAAAGAATCAGGAAACTTGAAGACAGATCATTTGAAGTTATCAAGTCTGAAGAGCAGACCAGACATGGTGGCTCATGCCTGTAATCCCAAAACTTTGGGAGGCCAAGGTGGTAGGATCACCTGAGCCTAGGAGTTCAAGACTAGCCTAGGCAACATGGTGAGACCCCATCTCTATAAAATTAAATTTTTAAAAGTCTGGAAGAGAAAAAAAAAAAAGTAACTAGCTTAAGACATCTGACTACACCAAGCAGACCAATATAGGTATTATGGGAGTCCCAGAAAAGAAAAAGGGCAGAGAGCTTAAAAAACCACACAAAACACCTGTCAACTGAGAATAATACATCCCACAAAACAGTCCTTCAAAAATGAAGGAGAAATTCCCAGATAAAAAAGTCAAAGGAGTTTTATCATTAGATTTGCCTTACAGAAATGCTAAAGGGAATCCTTCAAGTTGAAACAAAAAGGACACCAGTCAGTAACTCAAAGTCATGTGAAAATATAAAGTTCTCTGGCAAAGAATACAGAAACTTGTATTAAAATTTGGTTTGTGCCAGGTACAGTGGCTCATGCCTGTTGTCCCAGCACTTTGGGAGGTCCAGGCAGGCAAATCACTTGCGGTCAGGAGTTCAAGACCAGTCTGGCCAACACGGTGAAATCCCATCTCTACTAAAAATATAAAAATTAGCTGGGCACAGTGGGGCGCATCTGTAATTCAAGCTACTCGGGAGGCTGAGGCATGAGAATTGCTTGAACCCACGAGGTGGCAGTTGCAGTGAGCCGAGATTGCATCACTACATTCCAGCCTGGGTGACAGAGTGAGACTCCATCTCTTTAAAAAAAAAAAAAAAAAAAAAATTGGTCTGTAAATTCACTTTTAATTCTTTTATAGGATTTAAAAGACAAAAGCATAAGAACTATAGGTCCATGTTAATGGATACATAATATATAAACACATAATGTGTGATACCAGTAACACAGGAGAAGAGGGTGGGTGGTGTAAAGGAGTTGAGTTTTTATATGCAATTGAAGTTGTTATAAGTTTAAAATAAATTATAACTTTAGCATATTTCACGTAATTCCCATGGTAACCACAAAGAAAATACTGAATACAAAAGGAAAGACTGAAACATGTCACTATAAAAGAATGAGGAAAGAAATGAGGGACAAAGAAGCTGTAAGACACACAGAAAACAAAATGGCAATACTGTGTCTTTATCAGTAATAACCTTAAATGTAAATGGATTAAACTCCCCAACCAAAAGACAACGACAGAATGGATTAAAAACCTGGATCCAATTATATGCTGTCTACAAGACTCACTGTAGATGTAAGGACACACAAGATGTAAGACTCATTGTAGATGTAAGCTGAAAGTGAAAGGGTGGAAAAAGGTGTACCACACATATAGTAACCAAGAGAACAGGGGTAGCTACACTAAATGGGACAAAATAGACCAAGTCTAAAATGTTACAAGAGACAAACAAGAACATTCTATAATTTAAAAAGATTAATTCTAGATCTAGCAATTATAAATACATATGCACCAAACATCAGAGCTCTAAATATATGAAGCAAACACTGACAGAATTGAAGGGAGAAGCAGACAGCTCTACAATAGCAGTGGAGAACTTCAATACCCCACTTTCAATAACTGACAGAACAACTAGACAGAAGGATTAATAAGAAAACACAGGACTTGAACAACACTATAAATCAACTGGACTTAACAAAACACTCCATCTAACAACAGAATACACATTTTTCCCAGGAGCACATGGAACATTCTCCAAGACAAACCATATTTTAGGTCACAAAATAAGTCTTAAATTTTAAAAGACTGGAAATCATACAAAGTATCTTTTCTGATCACAATGGCATGAAACTAGAAATCAAAAGCCAACGGAAAAGAGGAAAATCCACAAATGTGTTTCAGTTAAACAGACTCTAACAATCAATAAATTAAAAATAAATTACAAGGAAATTTTAAAAGAAAAACTATATCAACCTAAGAACTAGAAAAAGAGGAATTAAACCCAAATGTATCTGAAGTAAATAATATTAGAGATAAACAAAATAGACTACAATAGA